GAATTTGTTTATTAAAAGCTTTTGGACATTAAATGCCCAGTATTACTTGAATGCATCCAGAGATGATTTAAAGCAGAACTAAAAAGGCTGTTGGTCCCCTCTTCACAGGTGTACCTCCTATCATGGAAAGTGTATTATATATGTCTGTGCCATGTATATGCTGGGATTTTAATTCCCTATAAATAAAACATCTGTCACAGAAGAGTAGGCTGAGCTTTCTTAACCAATACAACACTAGCGCTGGAATATACACTAGGACCAAAAGTAAACCCCAGCCTGTGGTACACTGATACTTAGGCCAGTCCAGTCTTACTTGCTAAGTCTTTGGTCACCAACAAACACACTCAGTGACAAGGAAGTGATCTTCGGGAGGATGGAAGTTCCAGGGGAATAGTTGGTGTCAGGGCCCAGAGGGCTCAGGAGCCCCTCCTCTGACTTCTCCCCAGCTGTGGTTCCAGTCACTGGTGTCTTTGGTCCTGGGAGCCCCTGGGTCTGGTGTGAGCTGCTTCAGTTTGCTTTGGTTTGAGCTGCTTCAGTTTGCTTTGGTTTGGTTTGCTTTGGTTTGGTTTGCTTTGGTTTGGTTTGGCTTTGTAGAGACAGAGTCTTGCTATGCAATTCAGGCTGGCTTCGAACTCACAGCAGTCCTCCTCGCTCAGCCTCCTAGTGCTGGGACTACAGATTTGCCACACGCGTGGTGGACTTGAGCTTGTGTATGGCAAGCTCCCCACAGAGGGGAGGACAGGAAACGCTGTAGAAAAGCCAGCTGACAGCTCTCATGCACTGGAGCTTGAGGTAAATGGTGCCTGACTGAGGATTTGCATTTTCCTTTCTTTGTGTGGTGGGGACATTGCATGTTGAATCCAGGGCCTCTGCACTGGGCTGCATGCCCTGCCCTGCCCTTTGTCACCAGCCATTTTTTATTTCAATTTTTATGTTGAAACAAGGTCTCCGAAAGACCCTGGGTTACCCCAGCTGGCTTGAACTTGCCGTCCTCTGCCTCAGGTGTGTGCTACACACCCACTGAGAATTTGTATTTCGTGTTCGGAGGCAGTTTCTTTATTCAGGGATGTGAAGTTCAGCACTGGCATAGAAAACCACAGAGGGAAAGCTGCCCATGACTGAGTTGGTGAATGCCACGATGACTCCACTGCTGTGTGGCTCAACAGGTCTGTGAACTGGTCTTCTTTTATAATCCCAGCTCTTCGTTATCAGTCAGCTTTCACTGCGTAACAAAAGTAGCCCCAGTGTCAGTGATGTACAAGAAGCAGTGTCGGATGCACGTGGCTTGGGGCTCTGGACTCCGGGTAAAGCAGGGCTCTGTCTCAGGCCTCTTCTGGGCTCAGGCGCATCTCATTGTGGTGACAGCTGAGTAAAAGGCTCGCAGCTGCACGCCACCCAACCCGCACTGTTGGCCAAAGCTAGGCATGTGGCCAAGCCCAACAGCAGGCTGGCCAGCGTGTGTGGTCTGGAATTGTGGTTCTCCAGGTCTGATCTGAGGAGTCCTGGGGTTCCCCAGTCCCAAGTATCCAAGACGCCCTTGCTCCCCAGCGACCTGTATATGAGGCCAGGCTTTTTTCGTGTCTCCACCATCACCTGTCACTGTGGACTGCAGGAGCAGAACTAAATACCCAGCTGTCTTCTGCTAAGCCAGACAGAGGCCAGTGTAAAAGCTAATGGCATCTTCTCACTACACTTTTTGTTTTGAAAAATAATTTCTCAGCTAGACATGGTAGCACACGACGGTAACTGCCACAGCTCAGGAGGGCAGCTTAGCAAGACCCTGTCACAAAAACAGAAGAAGAGCTGGCTGTGGTGGTGGCACCTGTAATCCCAGCATGGCTGAGGCAGGAGGGTCACACTTAAGTTGCACAGGCAACTTAGCAGCATAGACTGTCTCACAAAAATAAAAAACCCGGGATGTAGCTCAGTGGTGAGAGTTTGCCTGGCACATGTGAGCTCTGTGGATTCAGTCCCCACTACCAAAACGAGAAGTGTAATAATGTTAACAAGAAACAGGCTTTTATTTTTAAATGTATTATTAAATAGTTTTAGTCTCTGGTGCAGTCTGTACTTGTTTGAAGAGGTATCTCATAGAAACCAGTATCTCAGTTTTTAAGAGTATAAAAGGTCCTAAGACTAGAAATGTCGGTCCAGAGGTGGGGCATGGCTGTAGCAGAGGCTGAGCAGGGAGCCGGATGCCTTAGCTCCTGCTCCAGGCTGTGTCCACCTCCATGCGGCTGGCGGGGTGGCCCAAGGCGGGCCCTTGATTTCTTTACTTTTCCTTTAACCAAGAGCACTGGGGAATTGCCTGGTTACCTCTCTTACATCGCTGCACTAAAAAGAGAAGGAGCAGCTGGATTTTCATAGTCACAGCTTCACTCTTGCCCAAGAGGACAGGACAGTTCTGTGTTCAGTTAAGTGTTTACCTTCATCCTCCTGGTGAAGCCCGGATTTCATTTGGCACAGGTCAAAATCGGTGCAGCAGAACTCGATACAGGTGAGGGTGTGTGTGTGTGTGTGTGTGTGTGCGTGCGTGTATGTGTGTCCGTCATTCCAATAAAGGCTCTGTGATTGTGTGGGAGGTTCCACCAGGGTGTCGCATTATGGGTTTTGTTCTCCTTCTGAGCCCAATCACTACTCGCTCGGAGAGTCGAGATGGTTATCTGGCCCTTGCAGCCAGCTGCTGAGTCCTGGCGTGGTGAGTGGGGTGGTGGAGCAAGTCCTTGCCCTGCCAGAGGCTGGATCCCAGAACTCAGAAGTGCCTGGTGGCTGTCTTGTTTCTGGGCGCCATTTCAACCTCTACAAACTGCTGCAGCTGCCCAGGGGGCTGTCTGAGAGGGTGTGAAGCAGAGAACCTGGCCGGCAGCATGCTCACTCTCAGGCAGGACCACCCTTTTCATCAGCAGGGAGTGCTGCTCACCTGTGGTCACCACTGGCTACCCGGTCTCTGCCGGCTCATCCTGTTCTAACTAGAAATGGGAACACCAGAGAGAACCTCCTAAATTCACATTCCTGAACTGTATTCACTTGGAAACCCTTTCATTCTGGGGAGGGAAGCCTGAAGCGCTCACTCTGGAATGTCAAGTTCATTGTGAAATCCCCTTTGAGTCGCTCTGAATTAAGCTAGTGGAGCAGACGGACTCTGAGGCAGGGCACCTGCGACCCAGCGGTTCCCTGGGCCCCACTTCACACACCACACTCCTGTCCCACCCGCCACAGCCTTCCCTGGACGGAGGCCGTTCCACCACGAGGATTAATCCCCAGGGAGCCCCGCAGCACATGAGGCCCAGGCTCCCTGTGGCCTGGGATCTTGTGATCCCTTGCAGTCCGCATTCTTGGAGAAGCTCGTGTGTCGGCATTAACATAAGCCTGATTAGTCACTGTGCTGTGGGGAAGGCCCATCTCCTGTCACTGGGATCCTACTGAGGGGCAAGAACAAGCTGTAAGAGGGGCAGGAATCCTGGGCACAGATGGCAGGGGGGTCAGAGGGTGCAGGCTCCCTGGGTCCTGGCTCCTTCCCCAGCCCTGCAGGAAGGAGAGCTCGAGGGTCTAGTCTGCTGTTGGGATCTGCTGCAGGGCTTCTGACAGCAGGGCCTTGTGCACCAGTGAACTCGGCCTGCGCAGAAGAGGAGGGGTCTACAGCGATGTGCTCACATCCTGCCCTGACTGCGCACCTGGTCTTGGAGACTCTGTCCTGCTTAGTGGGGTCTTTGTGACCCCCCACAGCTGGCTCTAGAGGGCCCAGCCCTTGGGTTTGGGCCACCGAGACTGGTCATCTGAGCCAGTCCCTTTCTGGGGAAGGGGAGTTCCTCCGTAATTAAGGCCACACAGTGCCCGCCTCTGGAGCTGGGTTGAGGGTTGATCATACCTCAAATATTTGGCAGTTACACCAGGAACATTTACCTGCAAGGCATGGGAGTCCCCGCCTGGCACATTTGCGCTATTTATAACCCTCCTTTGACAGGACCCTTCCCTCTGCTCCACGGCTTGTGTGAGCGTGGTGGCAGCCCGAGACTTTCCGTCACTCAGGTGTCTCCATATTCTCACTGCTGTTCCTTTCTGCCTTGTGACAGGCTCTCTGGAGGTACCAGAGGAAAACTCTCAGGTTTGTGAGGAAGGAGATGAGCTGGCATTCTGGGGTGAGGACTGGTGTGGTGGTGGTCAGGGCCTCCCGGGCTCCCTGTCCCACTGGGCTGCGATGCTGTGCTTGGTGCCCGGGAGCTGCGTCTACCCGTCTGCAGAGAGGAACCTCCAGACTCGACGGTGCCGTGGTGTCAGAGACCTCGGGCTGTCCTGTGTGTGGGCCCAGGGCTGGAGACCGCTGCTGTGGGCTGTGCGTGGTGGGCGTCCCGTCCCCGCTCACGGGGCAGTCCCTGGCTGTACCCTGTCACCATGTAACACGCTTGCTTTAAGGTCTGCGCTTTCCACACACCTGTCAGCAGGTGGAGGGCGGAGGTGCCTCTGATAAGGTCTTCCGGTCCTGCTGTGTTGTGGGCAGGGCCCGGTGCACTTGGGGGTCTGCCGGTCCCTGCTCCCGGCCTGCCCACATAGGCAGCGTCTCCGTGTGTGTCTGATTAGTCTAGAGGCTGTGTGTGTTCACATTTGTGTGTTTGTGGGTTAGTGTGTAGTTGGTGTCCCTGTGTAGCATGTGTGTCTCTGTTTTTTGTTTGTGTGTATAGTTCATGGGGCTGTGTGTGCTGTGTCTGTAGTCCGTGTGTTTCTGTGTAGTTAGGCACCTCTGTAGGCCTTTTGTGTCTGTACCTGTGTGTTTGTGTGTCTCTGGAGTTTGTGCATCTCTGTGATTCTCTTGTGTGTTTTGTTGAATGAGTGCTTTCCACAAGCAGAGCCTGGGCTACCACCCTGCGTTGGAGGAGAGGAAATGGTGAGGTTTATCAGCGCGAGTGGAGAACGCTTAAAATGCGGAACAAAATATTCACTCGGTTTACGTTTTCCCGATTCTTATTTAGGCAGAAACTTGCCACAGACCTTGGCTCCTTTTTATGAAGCAGAGCTTGAACTCAGCACCTCCTGAGTGCAGAACCAGCTTTTGGAAAAGCCCAGGATGGTCTGGCAGCTCTGTCCCCAGAGCCTGTTCCCCGCAGGCAGCCTCCCCCGCCAGAACCCTGCAGCTCTGGGGTGAGCGCTTCTGTCTCAGCCCAGGGCCCACGTGGCAGCGGCAGTGTGGGCGTGGCCGGCCCCAGCGCGGACCCTGAGTCCCACCCGAGGGCTGTGCTCCATTCACCGTTGGAGTCACCGGTTTGGGCATGGACCTTAAACTTCGCTCTCCGGGAAGAGCCGCACACTTTCAGGTAAAATGCAAGTGCTTTGCCAGCTGGGGGAGGATAGGCCAGCCTATTCCTGAGAGCAAGCAGTTTAAACAAGTCTGCGCTGGGCCGCTGGGGTGGAGCCCAGGGCTTCTCACTGAGCCACATCCCAGCCCTTTGTACTTTTTGAGACAGGGTCTCATCTCACTAAGTTGCTAAGCTGTGGAGCTGCCCAGGCTGGAGTGAGACTTGTGATCCTGCGCTGCAGCCTCCCAGCGCGGGGGACGACAGTGTGCAGGGCGCACACCCTGTAAGACTGCCCGGCCGCTGGGAGCGCGGAGACAGAAGCTGTTCCGAGCGCCCGCCTTGCGGGGCTCCCTCCGGGGCAGCCAGTGTGAACTTGAACTGACGGCCAGGCGTTTCTTTGGAATGGGATGCGTGGGGGAGAAACCGCTGCCTTTACCTCTGGTCGCTTGGTGAAATAAGTGGACGTTCACGGAGCCCCGTTTCCTAAGGACACAGGTGTCACGCGCAGGGGCTGGAGCGTGTGCAGAGTCTGTGTTTAAGACCCGGGCCGGGCAGAGGCTCGGGGCCTGTGGGGCTCCCTCCGGCCCCTGGGGAACGGAGCCCTCCCTGGCCGGGCAGTCTCGCCCCAGGGGCTCCCAAGTGCGTGTGCGGAGAAGCCCGACTCAGGGACATCCCCGCTCTACCCGGCCAGGTCTAAGCTGTTGGCGGTGGGGCAGCTGCTGTCTCCCAGGGTGTGCAGAGCGGCTCCACCGAGCGGACGCGAGCAGGGCACTGGGGGCCTGAATGCGGGATCCCCTCTCCGGTGTGAGGCAGCGGGAGGGAGGGAATCCACTCTGGAAGCAGAGAGCAGGCTGCGGAGGATTTCCAGAACGCTGCTTGTCAGACTGAGCTCACAGCGCACAGTGCAGGTGTTCATCCCGGGGCGAGCCTGACTTGGGAGCACGGGCTGCAGAGGAAGCTGTGCTACAAGGACCACAAGCAGACGCCAGCTCTGACTGCTCTGCCATGCGAGAAACCTGGCAGCTGGTTGGGCGGCTCCGGGAGAGAGAAGCCCCTCCGGCCCCGAGACCCGGCCGGGGTCCCATTCGGACCCTGGGCTCTGTCCCGACTGCAGGGGCAGGCGGCAGGTGTTGGAAAGACCTCCCTGGTGGCCGGGACCGCGAAGGCCCGGGAAGCTCCTGCTTGACCGGTGGGGGGCACTGTGCAGGTGCCGAGCCGGGCGAGGGCTCCTCTCAGGGCTTGGGGCTGCCGCTCGGACGGAGGGTGGGGACAGTCGTGGGCGCAGTGTAGGGCCAGGGCGGGCTGCAGCGCTCTGGGGCTTCCTCGAGTTCCCGGGAACAGGAGGAAACAGCACAGCGCCCTGGCTGCAGAGGGAGCTTGGGGTCAGTGCCCGGCGAGGATGCGGCCTCTGGTCTCTAACTGGGGGTGGGGCCAGGAGAGGAGGAGCAGGGAGGGGCTCCCCCTGCCCACCCCTGTGCGCCCGAGGGAGGTGACCGCAGCCGCAGTTGGGTCTCTGGTGGCCCGGGGGAGCCACTGGCGCCCCCTCCGGGGAGTCCTGCTGCCTTTCTCGGTGCCCGGAGGCTCCACTCCGGATTCTGGGGTTGGTTCCCACGGGTCTGGTGGCGGCGTGCAAGGCCCTTCTGGGGCCTGGCGTCTCCCGTGGCCCTGCTGAAGGTGCTTCTGCAGGACGCCCAGGGCCTGGACCCAGGGTGCGGGCTCGGCAGGGCTCACGGGCGCACTGTGGGGTGCACTGCGGGGCTCTCGGCCTCCGAACGGGTCTGCGGGGTGCGAGAGGGATGGGAAGCGGAAAGCGTGGGCTGGAGCTGAGCGAGGCGCGGGCAAGCCCAGTCCTGTCCTCCCTCGGAGGCCCCACCGGCTGCCCTCCTGGGCTCGCAGGACACCCTAACCACCCAAGGAGGGAGACCGGTGGGGTGGTGGAGCGGGCCCAGCGCTGTTCACCGAGCTCTTGGTAGCCAGCCCCGGCTAGGGAGGAGCCGCCAGGCCACGGGGCGGGGTGGTCGAGGAGGAGGCGCCAGCGGCCTTTGCATCAGCCCCGGGCTTCCTGGGCCAGAAAGGGGCATCGGGGCCCTGTTGGGTGCACAGCCGTGGGGACCTCACCCCAGGACGGTGCCACTGGCCAGTGCTGCCCCTCAAGATCCCGGGTTTCTCAGGGCTGCAGACTCAGGCCACGAAGAGCACATCGGCTAGGAGGCCCGGTTTCCAACGGTGTGCTTATACTTCTCTTCGTTCCTTTTCATTGCTGCATCACGATGATTAAAGAGCTTGAAGAAAAAGTACTCTTAACTTTTCCGAAGAAACCGTTTGCACAGCTATGTGAGCCTGCCCTGTGGAGGCGGCAGCTGGCCTTGCCTTCCTGAGGGAGCTTGTGTGCCTGCAGGGTCTGCAGGGCTGGGTTGGAAGGTGCACCTACCTCGGGGCAGGAACTGAAGCCGGAGCACCCTGTGGCAGGTCAGGTGTGGCCTTGCCGGGCAGCTTCCTGGAGCCCTTGCTTCCCCTCAATGCACACAGCTGAGCTCTGCTCCATAAATGTCAACTCTCCGTGCCAGAGCCCTCACCAGGGCTCCTGAGCTGCAGGAAGAGAGAGGCTGCCGGCCTGGGAAAGAGCCCGATGCCGAGTCCCGGAGCAGGGTGTGCAGGCCGGGCCCCAGCGTCGGGACACAGCTTGCCTCGGTCCTCTGAAGCCTCTGTGGCTGGGTGTGCTCTGCCCAGAGCAGCCATGGAGAGCGTTCACCAGCGAGCAGAGGCTGAGGGCGCTGTCCTCTGGGGCGTCACGGCTTCCCCAGGCCTAGTGCGGTGCCGCAGCCTCCCGCCGCCTCACCCGGCAGTTCCCACGCAGCCTGCAGGGTTGGTGAGTGGCGCCAGGCAGGGTGGCAGCAGGGTGTGGAGGCCGCGTCAGAGGAGCGTCAGGAGGGCCTGGGGTCCCGGGGCCCTTGCTGGGCCTGGAGGCACGGGGGGCACTGCCGCAAGGCAAGGGGAGGCAGCAGAGCTGACCGGAGGCGGGCAGCAGCCAGGGTGGATGACCGTCAGTGGGATGGAGCCCAGAGCCTCTGCACCAAGCTCCATCTCTAGACCTTTAAAAAAGTGCTTTTCTAACTTTGAGACAGTGCCTCACCATATCTGTAAGCTGCCCCGGCCGGGCTCAAACTCACAATCCAATCTTCCTCCTCAGCCTCCCCTGGTGTGGGGATTACAGGCCTGTGCCATCTCATCCAGCCGAGCTGTTGGTTTATTAGGGTTTGTTACAGGCAGAGCTGTCTTTGTCTCCCCTGAAAGTAGCGACCACTTGGCTACTTCAGGCTGGGTCTTGCCCAGCCTCCCGCAGCCCCACCCGCAGTGCTCCTCAGGCCACTGGTTAGCTTTGTTAGCTCTCCCTGGCCCGATCCCAGACAAGCAGGGGCTGCTCTGCTGTTCTCAGGCCAGGCCCACATCCCAGCAAGTGCAGCCATGGCTGGGGGACCGAGGGTCCCCAGAGAAGGAGCTGCATGCTGGGGTGTGGGGGTCAGACAGGCCGTGGGCTGCGGTGCCCTAGTCAGAGGTGTGGGCATCTTCCTGAGAAGCCAGGAGAAGTAGGCGAGCAGGGGCCAGGCACAGGCAGCACAGTCGGGGAGGGAGCTGCGACTGGAGAGGCAGGTCAGGGCCACCTGGGTGGGAGGCCTCCGGGGCTTGGCCAGGGCTTGGAACAGTCTGAGAGGATCTGGAGGGCAGGGCGGGCAGAGCCAGCACAGGGGGAGGAGAACGGGGGGCAGCGAGGCGGCAGAGAGAGGCCGGACAGGAGCAGAGCTGCTGGAAGCTCTGAGCAGGGCAGAGGGCTGAGTGCTGCAGACTGGCTCTGACAAGCGTGCTTGCCCTCAGGTCGGGAAAAAAGCTCGGGGGCAGCGTGTCCGAGAAGCCATGGAGAAAGACATCCGCCTTGAGTCTGTGAGAGAGAGCAGACACTGGGTAGTGGACGGCGGAGCTTGTGAAGACAGCGGTAATCGCAGATTCACACGCAGTTGTAGTCAATAACACAGAGACGTCCTACGTAGCCCGGCCCTGGTTCCTCAGGGTGACCTGTCGCACAACCTACTGACACGCAGTGCTCACTCCAGGCCCCGGGTTGCCCTTTCTGAGCCATGAGCCACATCCACATGCACAACCCTCTGCCCGACCCGATCAGCCCCACCTCTGCCCTGCACCTGTCCCAGACGCTCTTCAGTGGAACCACAAGTCATACAAACTTTGCCATCAGTTTTCTCATCAGGATTGCCACTCTGTGGATCCACCCATGTTGCTGCACGCTTTGTTTCTTTTTATTGCTGAGTGGTTTTCCATGGAATGGATGAACCATTGTTTTTCTTTGTTTGTTTATTTGTCTTCTGAGACAGGGTCTTGCTATGCAGTTCGGGCTGGGCTTGAGCTTGTGGCGCTCCTCCTGCCTCAGCCTTCCGAGTGCTGGGATTACAGGTGTGTGCCACTGTGCCCAGCCTGTAAAAAAAGAATTGTTTAGAAGATATTTATTTGCATTTTTCAAGATTTCTAAACATAGATACGACAATAATTCATAGGCCATTTTATGTGACAAAATAGGCATTAACAACATACATACGCTGCAAGCGTGATCACTGATATATTGATGACAGGTGGACTTGGGTAACAGTTTCTGAGCAGACAAATCGTATTCGTAAAGAAATAGATAAAAAATGAAACGCTACGGCTGGTAATTGTGTGTGTCCAGCTTTGGAGCTGTAGTCACCTGAAATGCATACTATGAAGCACACCCTAAGTCTCGAGGACGGAGATCAGAAAGCGCAGTGGGTCAGCACCACACGGGCAGTTGCCTAAAGAGACCCAAAAGTCCACCCCTTTAGTGGTGCTGGGGACCGAACCCAGGGAGCCCTGAGCTACATCCCCTGTCCTTCTTTTAAAATTTGAGAAAGGGTCTAAGTTGCCCAGGCTGGCCTTGAACTTTAAGTCCTTCTGTCCCAGCCTCTTGAGTAGCTGGGACCTCAAGTATGCAC